CTTCCAGATTGCCGGCCTGGTAGCTGTCTCTGTTTATGTCCCCACGGGCAGCATGGGAGGAGGTCAATTCATTCACAGTCCTGCCAACATCCTCCATACCTGCCAGGGACCCACAGTCCCCCACTGTGGGGACTCCTAACCACCATGGCATGGAAGAAGGGAGCGAATGGAATGGGAGGGCCGTCTCCTCACAAGGTGCAGCCAGGCGCAGGGCTGGATAATGAGCCCTGATCCTGAGGTCTTCAGGGAGAACCGAGTCTCCAGGTCCCTGGCCAGAGGCTGATATCTCTATGAACCTCACCTCAGCCAAGCCTCTGAGCTGTGGACTCCCCGGGAGGTGAGTCCCTTTTTGTCATCATTGGATTCAGAGCATCACTTGGCTGCTCAGGAAGCAAAGGTGGCTCCTCTGAGCATCTGACTAGGGGTGCAGATGGGGGTGGCCCCACTTTGCTTTGTGAGGTGGTGGAGCTCCCTGGGTTTCTGTCTCACTCGTCAGTCGGGTAATCATCTTAGCGAGCAGTGTGATGGTTGAGACATGGAGGTAGGGAGGACCCTTTCTGGCCTTATGCTTTCTGATCTGAAAATGAATATTGGATGACCCCCAAGGAAAGGTGACCTCCGGAAGCGCTAAAGCAATCTGCTTTTTTCTTTCCTTCCTCCCTCCCTTCCTCCCTTGCTTCCTCCTTCCTCCCTCCCTCCTTCCCTGCCCCACTCTTCCTGTCTGTCCTCTTTTTTTCCTTCCTTGCTTCCCTCTTTTCGGCTTACATCCACCCTCCACCTCCAGTTTTCTTTTACAAAGTACACTGCCAGGCCTGCCTCCTCAGGCCCATCTGAGTGGACCCAAATCTCCAACCTTTTTTGTTAGCAGTTGATCACAGGGACTGTGTGCACCACCCAGGGACTCTTCTGTGAAATCACATTACGTATACTTTCCTGCCAGTATGTGACGGTAAGCCTGGGAATCAGGATTATGAACGTTTTTATTAATATGCAACAATGTTCCAGGGATGAAAACATAACAAGACGCGAGGCATAATTAAGAAAAAAATCAAGATTTGCTTGATGTCTGTTTCTCATTGGAATTGAATGCATCCAGATACCAGCAGAAATGATCAGTGGGTGATGTGACTACAGATACGTTGTCATAGCCCTAACTTCTGTGTCTTCTATTTCCAAAGTGATGCATCAAGTGTCTCTAACAGTAACATGACTATTCGAGCCAAGTTACGTTAGCTGGACTCTTACTGTAGTTTGATGTGTGTAACATACTGGGTGCCTAACAAAAACCTGAAGGCTATCAGCCATAGATATGGTCACCACTGGCCACCACTTAGAAGTGGGTCTCAGTTGCTGGAGAACACTCTTTTTAGTTGATACAGAGTGAAAGTCGTTAATGCACTTGGCTGCTCACTGAAAGGCTGATGGATCATTTGAATCCGCTCAAAGGCACCTAGGGAGACACCTGCCTATCAATTTGAAAAAGTCAGCCTCGGAAAGGCCAATGGAGAATGGTTCTAATCTGACACTCACAGTGTCACTGTGAGGCAGCGCGGACTCCATGGCCTCTGGTTTGGTTTAGGGTTTTGTGTCAGCTACTTGGACAGCAGGGATCGGCCCTGGTTTGTGGAGGTCTATCAGTTCTTTGTTGCTTACTGAATCTCTTCCAGGGCAACGACTGTCAGCTGGTTCTTATGTGTCTTTGCAGGGACGTTCAAAGCGTAGGTGCCAGTTGACTCTCCTCTGGCGATTTTAGACACGATAGCACATCATACACAATGCTCTGCACCTCGGTTCCTGGGCAGGAATATCATCTCCGCCTATAGGATGTGAGGAGCGACCGAGTTTTCCACGATCAGGTCCCAGACCAGAGGGAATGCTTCCTTTCCGTCTCCGTTCTTAGAAGTAGCACTTTGCTCTAACGAACCTCACACAGAGACTGTGGGCTCATGTGGGAACCCATCGTTAGGGCAAAGTGTGGGGGGCAGTTCTAAAGCGTGGGGGGCAGTTCTCACTCCTACCAGTCCTGGTGGGAAGAGCTCCTGACCCGAGCTGCCGCGGGAGCCCATGAGCTCCCTGTCCTGAGCGTAGGCAAGCAAGCATTCAACCCGACTTGATGGGGCTGTCGCCCTAGTCTGGCCCTAGCACCATAGAAGGGCGTTGGACGAGGCCCCTCGAAGATGTCTTTGAAGCGAAGACTCACAGCGACCCCGTAGGACAGGTTAGAACCGTCCCTGGGCGTTTCCAAGATGGTAACACTTCCCGGGAGGAGAAAGCCTTCGCTTCCTCCCTAGGAGCAGGCTGGTGGTTTTGAACTGCTTGCCTTGTGGGTAGCAGCCCACTTACCACTATGCCAAGCAGTTAGCGGTCTGCATCCACCCAAAAGCCCCTCAGGGGGAGGTCTGGGGATCTTGCTCAGAAGGAAGGTAACTGCTGTAAACCCGTGGAAGACAATCCCACCGGAAACCTGTCGACTCAGGAGTGATGCATTGAGTGAACAGGTAGCGCTTCGTCTCAAAGAGAGCAGAGAGCATGGGGTCCCGTTCAGCTATCACCCCCACGGTTCTCTGCCAATACGCGCTGCTGTGCCTTCCAAGTGGAGACTTCTCCTTGGAGCTGGTGTTCTTTAGAATCCCTGACATGCAACAAACACCCTACTGGAATCGGCCACCCAGTGAGTCAGGCCTTTGTGGCTTTGGGGGGTGGGGCGAGTGGTTGGGAATTGCCCTTCCTTGATGTATTTATTACTAATTGGGAGTTCCTACATAAATCACAGCATTCCATCGTCCAATCACGCGAAGCGGAATTGTAGGATTGCTACCACCATCCGTTTCCAAACATTCTTCTTCCTCCTGCCCTCCTTGACATCTCTCCCTGGGACCCCCGCCCTCCCCCACCACGTTTGAAACGGACTTCACTGCTAGGAAACATAAAGAAGTATCTGCAACTGCACTCCGACATATTTCTGAGACAATTGATTCGAGGAAGTCTGACTTCCATCACGGCGGGCGGCCCCAGGCAACCGCTGCTGTCTCTTTATCATCCTCACTAGCAACACATCTCTGCTACCTGAGCAACGGTGCCCCTTTCTGCAGCGCCCCCACCCCCGTAGGCACACCGCACTCTAATCTGCAGGCCTTTGCCTGTTCGAGGCATTTCATATTCATTATCTCGGACATTATCTACCTTTCTGAGATGGACTGATCTCACTCGCCACCATGTGGTGAAGCCGCACTCATGTTGTCGTATGTGTGAGGACTTCCATGTTGTCGTATGTGTAAGGACTTCCATGTTGTCGTATGTGTAAGGACTTCCCTTCTCTTTGTGGCAGAACAAGGTTTGTTTGTATACGTCACATCTTGTTCCTACTCACCTGTCGGTTGGCATTTAGATTTTTTTCTCCTGCACTTACTGGTTTTAGCAAATGATGCTGTGTTGTGCACGAATCCGCATGTGTCTTTGCTTTCAAATCTCTGGCGTCCCTAAAATCTTTTTTTAATTACACTCATTTTCTTATAATGGAGTAGACCTTCCGGGAGGCGAAGGGCTCTAAATCCAACACACACAAGGGATGACACAGCCTTCCTTCAAACCCAGCTCCGGCTGAGCTTTGCACATGGCCCGCGATGGGTCAGGTGGAGGGGAGGAGACACCGGGAGAGAGAGGCACCTCTCTTCTCCAGGGATAAGCACGGATACACGTTCTCCATGGAAGACTCCATGCTCCAGGACTGGCCGAGGTCCGAGGAGAGAGCAGCTGGTGTTCTGGGTGGGCTGGGGTTCATCAAATTCCTACATTCATCAGCTATTTACTGGTTCTCTGCTACATAGGGGGAGGCTTTGGATGGTACAAATAATCGATAAACCCATGCGTCCAACTCATGGAGATAAACTCTCCTGGGCCCTGGATTTGAACATGTCTATTTCACGAGGTTGGCAGCATACAGGAGGAAGCAGACCTTATTACACAAGAATAGAATTCAAATATCGTCCCAGACGGTGTTGCTGAGGGAGCCCAAGGCCGGGGGTACTATTTCGAGCATCACCTCTGAGAAGATGTGGTTGGCATAGAAATAGGGAGGGTGGGGGTGTCCGGCAAGGGCCACCGGTAGGAGAAACAGCACAGTGGGCAGAGGGACTAGAACCAGCGTGTGCAAAGGTCCTGCGGAGAGAAGGAAATGCTCCTTGGAAGGCCAGTGAACGAGGAGTGTGGGAGGATGTGCGGATGGATTAAGAGCTGAGGGCCGGCGCCCACAGGACCTCGTAAGACGAAAGGAGTGTCCAAGCTCCTGGGAAGAGAGGACCAGGCGAGTGCAAAGGCCCTGAGGCCGGACCATCCCTTGTGGATGGAGCTCGGTGGGAGGAGACCCGAGGGGGTGCTCATGGACTTGGGAAAGGCCTTGGCTTCATGCCATCTTTAGTGAAGAATTAAAGGAGGGCCCTGCCTGTAGGTGCCATGACCTGGTTGGCCTTTAAAAAAAATGATTTTACTTATTTTTTTGAAGAAAATATATAGACAGCAAATATCATCTCTACAACTTCTATGCATACTCTTTAAGTGATGATTGTTTTCTTCATGTTATACAACTAGCCGAGTTTTCCCTTTCCAAAATGTTCCCACCATCATTAACCTCTCAGTTGCTTTGTCCACTGGATTCCACAGAGACCATTCTTTGACAGCGGACAATGCTCGCAGCAGCCGTCTGTAAGCAAGCTCAACTGCTGCTTGGCTCAAGGAAAATACCAGGAAGAGTATTTCCAGTTTAAAGCTGAATGATACTCTCAGGGAAATAGTACAGAGTTCCAACTACCCTCCGTGGGCCCGGGAATGCTGGATTCCACTGATAATTCTATATTCCTTCAGCTGATTTGCCATTTAATAAGTGCCTTCAGGCTGGGCAGTGCACACTGTGGAGACAGACCCAAGCAGGTGAATGTTCTATTTCATTGCTTCTCTTAACTCCCTCTACATCTCTGGGCAGGATCTGGGCACATCCCTGGACCATGCCCTGGTTCCGGGCTCCCGTGGGAGCCAACCAGACCTGGACGCGTGACTTTGTCTTGCTGGGCTTCGCCCACGTGCCCACGCTGCGCCCGCTGCTCTCTGCGCTTTTCACGGCCATGTTCACGCTCACGCTGCTGGGCAACGGTCTCCTCGTGCTGCTGAGCATCTGGGACCCCGTCCTGCAGGCACCCATGTACTTCTTCCTGCGCCAACTGGCCCTTGTGGAGGTCTGCTTCTCCCTGGATATCGTGCCCCGACTGCTCGCCACGCTGCTCTGGCCGGGGCGCGGCCTGTCACCCGTGAGCTGTGCCCTGCAGCTGCTGCTGGTGCTGGCCTGCGTGACGACAGAGTGCTTCCTCCTGACGGCCATGGCCTGGGACCGCTACGTGGCCATCTGCAGGCCCCTGCACTATGGCATCATCATGAGCCCGCGGCTCTGCCACCTGCTGGCAGCCACCTGCTGGCTGGCCGGTGTCCCAGTGTCCCTGGTCTTCACCATCTGGCTGTTCAGCTTCCCCTTCTGTGGGCCCCGGGGCATCCGCCACTTCTTCTGCGACATCGCCCCTCTGCTGAGCCTCGTGTGCGCAGACACCAGGCTCTTTGAGGCCAATGTGCTGGTGGCCACCGTGCTGGTCATCATGACTCCCTTCTGTCTGATCGCCGCGTCCTACATCGGCGTGCTGGCCACCGTCCTACGCATGCCCTCAGCCACGGGGCGCCACAAAGCCCTGTCCACGTGTGCCTCCCACCTCATCGTGGTGGTTCTGTTTTACGGCACAACGGGGGTCATCCACTTGCGACCCAAGGCCAGCTACTCCCCTGAGAGCAAGCAGGTGGTTTCCCTCTCCTACACGCTGGTCACCCCCATGCTCAACCCCCTCATCTACAGCCTGCGGAACAAGGAGGTGAAGGCTGCTCTGGGCCGTGTGTGCTGGGGGCGGCACGGGTCAGGGCCCCGGGAATGATGTCCCGGGGACCACTTCGCACTAGTAGGCCACTGTTCCCGTGCAGCCCATGGCCTGCCTTCTGGAGACCCATCCTTCCCGCTCTTTCCACAAGACTGACTCCATCTGTCAGCCATGATGATGCTTGTGACCAGTCGTCGCTCCCTGCACACCACTGCTCAGTAGGGAAGGAAGGAAGAAGCCGGATGGGGGCTTCACCAGGAGAGTGGCTCACTCAGCTCCTTGCACGATGATCTGAGTCATAAATCACAAAACTTACCAATCTGCAGACCGTCGAGGGGAGCTATTCTAGGATGGGCTGAGTGCGTGGCTCTTCTGATCTTGGACGGACGTGCTTGCCCAAACAGGTACAGCTATGTGCTGAAATGTGGCCCCCCAAGGGGTAGGCTGAACCCCTTTACCTGTGAATGTGACCTTGTTTGAGGAAGTGGAATAATTCTTTGGGGGGTGCTCGAAATGAAATAACAGGGAGCAGGGCGGTCCTGGTCCTGATCTGGTCTGAGTGACCGTTTCTGAAAGAGAAGAACAGATGCCAGAGTCGCACCAGACAAACACCTCAGGCGAGGACACAGCGACACGCTGAAAACATCAACGAGGGGCGGCAGCTTCGAGACGCAGGAGAGAGGGAAGAGGCAGTTTCTCCCTGAATCTCTCAGAAAGAAGCAACCCAGGGGATCCCCTGGCTTGGACTTCTAGCCTCCAGAGCTGTGAGAAAATACTTTCTGTTCTTTAAGTCCACTCAGCTTGGGCGACAAGGAGCCCTGGAGGTGCCGTGGTCATTTGTTGGGCTGCAGTCCTAAAGGTCAGCAGTTCGAAACCACCAGCCACTCTGCAGGAATGAGGCTTTCTGCCCCTGGACAGAGTCAACCAAACCAAACTCACTGCCATCGAGTCAGTGCTGACGCACGCTGACACACACACACACACACACACACACTTTGGGTTTCTGGGATTGTAACTCTTTCCGGGAGTGGAAAGCCCAGCCTTTCTTCCAAGGGGCTGCTGGTGTTTTCAAACAGATGACCAGGAGAATCACAGCCCAAGGCTGAACCACTCCTCCACGGGGGCTCCTCCGGTAAGTTACAGACGTGGAAACTCGCAGGGCAGCTCAACCCTGTGCTCTAGGGTCTCCGTGAATCAGTATCGACTCAAGGCAGTGCGTTTGGTTTGTTTGTTTGTTTGTTTGTTTGTTTGTCTATCTTCGGGTACATATATAGTGATGGCAGCTCCCGGAAAGTAAGATAAAAGTCAGCTGCTGTTGGCTCGGCTGAGCGGGAGGTGCCTTGGCTCCACGAGTCTCCCATTCTTCTCCTGAATTCAAGGAGAAAACTCAGGCATGTGTTTCTCATGTGGTTGCTGAGGGTGAAGCCAATTACAGAATGGGTTGCCAAGGCTTCGGGCATGTAATACCAACTAGCATCCCATTGGCCAACGCAAGTCTAAGCCCAACAACCCTTCCTCTCTGTGGGAGGAGCCAGGACTCCAGGGCAAAGGATGTGGCTAGAAGGGAAACTCCGGCATTTAGACAATTATTAGAATCTCCTGCAGAGAGGCAGGACTCGGGCTTTTTGTGCCAACTGCTGTTCGTGCATGGCCTGCAGCTGGGAAGCTGAAGGTGATGGACCCAGCGGCTACTGGGTCTGCTTAAGAGCAGTCTTGCTGGAAACTGGAGTCCATGAGGAAAAAAAATAGAACAGCGAGGAAAAGGAAGATGACATTCCGGTGACTATGATGTTCCTCAGGAATGCTGGGGTGTAGCAGGCTACGAATCACATGGTCACCAGTTGGAAACCACTGGCCAGACTGCGGGAGGAAAATCGGTCTTTCGACTCCCAGAGTTACAGCCTGGGAGACCTACAGGACACAGACACCCCCCAGTAAGCCATTAATCCAGTTCCTGTCGCCACAGACTTCCTGTCCTGGATTTCATATACGGAAAATGTACCAAAAGTGAGAACATTTAAACGAGACCCACAACAATGACAACATAAACCGGGGTGGGGGGGTGGGGGGGAGGACAACTCGGTTGAAAAGAAAGCAGGACCTGTTAAAAAAGTAGAAGAGATTTAAAATGAGTCAGTAGGGAGCTCAAATGATCGGGTTTTACAATTCCACTTAATGACCTAATCAAGTTTCTAGCACTCTGTCTGAGAGCTAGGGTATTCAGCAGCAGGCTTTCATCTCTAATAACTCTGGAGTCTTTCAATGAATTCACCCCTCAAACGCATGGGGATATATATATATTTTAAACATACTTCAATGTATGGGAAGAGAAATTTCTTCTGCGTGGCAATATTGTCTCATCGAAGGGAACTGCTTTTCCTAGAAGACATTCCTGGATTTGAATGGTCACTCTATAGTCTTTTTTATTATTATTATTGTTTATTGTCTCCTATTTTGTTTTATAATATTAAGGGGGATACCAAATATTTTAATTTTTATTGATGATTATATTTCATCTACTTGAAAATATTGACCCTGTAAGGGATAGTAGAAACAAAGCTGTCCGTGTAAATTTTAAAGATCAGAGGTGAACTTAGGTGTAGGAGGTGATGGGGGATGTGGACAGCTGTGAAGGGGCAGGAGGTTCCCTCAGCAACCACGGAGGGGCCCCACTAGGAGGGACACCCTGCACTGGCTGGGAGCAGGAAGTTCAAGTTGTTTAAATGTTTTTCTGTAGATGAAATCCAGGATAGGTAAATCTATAAGGACAGTCGTAATGGGATTAATGGTTCTTTGGGGGTATGACAGGGAGGTTGGCAGGGAATAGGGAACTAGCAATGATGAGTACAAGAATGAAGAAAATGTTCTCAAACTGATTGTGCTGGTGATTGTACAAATTCTTCTTCTTCTTCTTTTTAAATAGGCTTTATATAAATTAATGAACAATCACTGTAAGGTAACAACCAAATGCTATAAAGGACACTAGCTCTGCGATCTACAAGTATGAGGGATGTTTTAAGTAAGACTCAGTGGGCAGACAAGAAGACGGATATATGTGACATTAAAATGAAGTATTGTGAGTCAAGAAAAGGCATCATAAGTATAGTTGTCTATCAGATGACCAGCCAATTAGCAGTTAGATATTAGATATTGCTAATAACTGGAATTTTCAAGGAACTGGGGGGAAAATGAGCAAAGCCTATAATCAGGAAGTTTTTGAAGAGGAAACCTGAATGGGCACCAATTTTCTCAAACAGCACTCAACTTACTAATAAATGTTGTCGTGCCCCCAAGTCCGTTCCAACTCTGCCGGTCCTGTGCTAACAATTGTTGTTCTGTTTGAGTTCATTGTTGTAGCCACGGAATCAACCCACCTCCTTGGGGGTCTTCCTCTTTTTCCTGCCCTTCGACTTTGAAGTGCGGTGTCCTGTCCCAGGGCAGAGCCTGTCCTCAAAGCACGGGAGTCGCTGTCTTGCCATCTTGGCCTCTGAGAAGCATGCCGGTTGTACCCCTTCTGAGATGTGTTTGTTTGTTCCCTTGGCAGTCCGTGGACCTCTCACGATTGTTCACCAGCATCACAACTCCAATGATCGATACTTTCTTATTCAGAGTCCCACTTTCACAGGCACGTGAGGCAATAGGAAATACCATGGCCTGGGTCCGACGCACTTTAATCCTCAAAAAAGCCTCTTCACCTTCTGTGTTGTTCTTTTGTTTGTTTTTGTTTTTTAATTATTTTATTGAGGGCTCATCCAGCTCTTAGAACAACCCATAAGTCAATAGTAACAAGCACATTTGTAGATATGTTGCCATCATTATTTTTTAGACATTTGCTTCCTATGGAGCCCTTGGGGTCGGTTCCTCTCCCCACCCCATCCCCACCCCTTGTGGCCCTGCATGGACTGTGACTTGATTTCCCCAAACCTCAGTCATCTCATCTATGAATCGGGAATCGGGGATCGTTGTTATCCATACTCCACAGAGTGGTCACATCAAATGAGGGGAAGCAAGGAAGAGCCGTTGACAGTGCTTGGTATAGTAAGTCTTCAAGCAATGCTCTCCACTCTATATATTTCCATAGCTACCCCCATAGATGAAAAAAAAAAGGAACAAGAATCCCTATTTCAAGGGGGAACCCCGAGTCATACTTCCAAAAGGTGGATTGGGACTCTCATAACCTGTGAGTCCAACCTGAGCCAGAACCCTTGCTATTGGATTCCAGGTAAGTTACTTCCCTTCCTCGGGCTTCATTCCACCCACTGTAGAACAGGAAGGGCTGGAAATAACCCCTCCTCTTCCTGCCATCCAAGATTTCCATGGAGAAATAATGGAGCACCGGTGTGAAAAGGAAAATTCTTGCACAGACTTAAGACATGATGATGATGATGGTGATGATTAGAGACTGAGTTCATTATGTGCTGTGATGACATGCTATTTACAACAAAGCGGCAATGGATGTGCATTTTAAAGGACGTCATGGACTTCATCAGGAGAAGGGGCGGGCTTCCAGCAAGGGAGACATCTCAGGAAAAAAAAACGCCCTCACTAGCAAATGCATGTTGTGTTGATGGCTATTTCTATGATAAAAGGTTCAGAAGGAGTTATATGAAAATGTTCAGAAGGCTTTACACAAACAACATTGTATACAGAGGGGAAGAGTCAAGAAACAGAGTGAGTGGAGTGGGAATGAAAGTAAACCAAGTTTTCTATTTATGTTTTGTGTTGGGTGTCGTAAAACATATGATTTTATGTTTCGTATTGGGTGTAGTAAGTGTATGCTCCTTATAACTTATGAAGAATTTAATTAAAATATTTTAAGGTATCAAAATATGACAGCATTAATGACCTTGTCTCTTAGTTCTCCCTAGGAGAAGTTGATATATTTTCCATGATATTTCTAGATCATTGTCTGTTGTTTCTTTTAACACACACACACACCCCCAAAAAAGGAGGGGAACTCTGACATTTGATCTTCTTTCATGGCGATGTACTGATCAGGATGAGGGACCCATCCTCTGTGAGGAAGAAACGCTCGGTCCTGGAAGGGCAGGCTTCGA